GAGATCGTTTCACGAAGAGACGAGGGTCAGGTTCTTCTGTCGTAGGCCTCAGCCAGAGATCCTCGATTTCGTTTTATCTCGTAGACGAGTTCGATTCGATTCCTCGTTTCCCCCTTTCGAAATAATATCGGCGATACGAATCAGCTTGATAATTTCGAGCGAGACTGATTTGTACGAAGGGGTGGCGTATGTTTTAAGCGGAAGATAAATTGTACACGGTTTTAATTAAAGGGAACGAGTAAGGTAAATAGATGCGTGATCACCGATGGAATTGCTCGGCGATATTTATCCGGGAAAAATGCAAAGCTTAGAATAGCGAATTTTTAATTATTTGGACAACAGGAGAGGTCTGAAATGAATTCTACTTGTGTTGTGATTCATCGTCGGTTTGATGGAAGAGTGACATAGTTAAGGAAAGTCAGTATTTCAGGAAATCTATGAAATTTTTAAATTTTGTGCAAAAAGTTTGTTTCTTTTACAATTTAGCTAATTTTCTTTGGATTTTGAAGGTCTCTGATAAAATATTATTTTATTCACATTGATTACCGTTAAGAAAAGGGTTAAAACAGCTCTATTCTAATTTTATGACACTATTCTTGCCAAACGCTATAGCTTAAATTAAAATTTGTTTTTAGTCTTCCAGACAAATGGATTTCTCAAAATTGACGATTTCGTTCAACCGGCGACGTAATTCTCGAAATTTAATTCGCGAAAAGCTGTTAAAAAATATGTCAAATATTTCATCGCGTAATTGAGAAAGTGGGAAAGTATGTAGGTTAACAAAGATCGATCTAATTCGCCACGGCGCGGCGGGGAAAGATTCCCGTTCAGTTTTCGATTGGCGCAGTTCGATTGTGACGCAAGTCAACACGCGACGCCGTACGCCTTCCGGTAAAGGCCGTCACGGCCACGCGCGTCGATTAAGCTAGAACCCGACACGGTGGCCCGACCTTTGCGTGAAACAGGCCCTCTCCAACGAACAAAGCCTCCAACTTGCGAGTCTTAACCTTTCTGCGCTCCGTTTCCGTCGCGATCTATGCACCAGGCTCGCCGATTTCTGGTTGAACGTCGATTCTAATGTCCCCTTCAGCGGCAGACTTCGTGAAACCAGGTACAGTTACCGTGAAAAATATTTAAACGCTATGCAGATAAAAATATTTATTTGAAAATATGATATTTGAAATGTTGCGAATATTAATAATGCGAAGACGATAAAAAAAAGAATACTATTGTGGGATCAGAAATATGAATAGATGTTTATTTTAGAAAATATACACACGTTTCCCGACTTTTCCAAACACACTGTCCCTTCGTGGGCCTCTCGTTGGGCCTGGCTATCGTCGCTCGTCGCCCGCTTTCTCTCTCATGCTCGCCACATTTGCTTAAAACTACTCTTTCTCAAAGTTACGATACTACAATACAATATTCAAAAATTCAGCAAATATGAAAAAATACATGGTTGAAAAACGTTTCTACAAATTATAAATGAAAATTACAATTAAATCGAAGGGTGAAACGGGGTGAATCACCCCCACCCCACGGCTTGCAAAGGGCAGCGTAATTCCTCTGTAATTCCTTAGTCTAAGGACGTCCGGGGAAGCGGTGTTGGTGTCCACCCACGAACATTCCACCGATGGTGTAGACGATACCTCGGGCCGGCCGGCCTGTCCAAGCCATCTCGGGGGCTGTGGCGGGCACCCCGCCCTCTCCTGACCATCCGGGCTGGGCCAGCAGGGGCTTGTGCCAGTGTGGTGCTCGCACCTGCGGCCTCAGCGCCGGGGGCTGGCCGGGTTTGGTGTAGGATCCGAGGTGGCAGTGATTAGGCCGCATGCTGGCCAGGGACCTTTTCCAGGCTCCGACGTGTGAGTTGCGAACAGCTCCGGGTCCAATCTGGAGAATTGGTAGAGTGTTGGAAAGTCGCTCCGTGCCACCCGTAACGTGGGGTTCCTCCTCACAAGTGTCCCTAGACGGGTAGGTGTTCAACCTGTACCCTTAAAGGGTCTAGTTGGGCAGCCTCGCTGATTGGGCGTATCCTAATCCTCCGCCATTGGGGGCTGTCTGGACTTACGGCGAAAGCTTGGCACCGGACGTTAAACTACTCGACTTGATACTACTTCATAAAGATCCCAAAAGTGAAACAAGGACCTTCTTCGCAAGAAAATTCAGAAGAAAAGAAAGGAGCTTTAAAAAACACATTTCCAAGGTTAAAAAGGATAATAAAGGAAACGAAGACGTTCATTGACCAAAAAGACGAAAATTTTCGTCCGTACTATTCGTCCAGACAATAGAAGACATTTGAACATTAAGGTACTTGTATAACCAAGTGTCGCTTTGCCTCCAGGATAGATTTAATCTAGGGAGGGATATGAAATTTGGCTGGAACGTAGCCAAAGGGGACTCGAAGAATCTTCCTTCTATACGTCCATGTTTTGAACAGGTTCCTCCACGGAGAGACAAAGTTCAGAGGCCAAGTTAATCTAACGAATTTGTAGCGAGCAAAAAATATCCTCCAACGAGGAGACACTCTTGGAAAGAAAAAACAAAAAAGAAACACAAGACTAACAGAAAACCAGCAAATTACTTCTATCAATTCGGTCAATTCCAAAAATGTCCTCGATAAAAGCACCACAGGAAAAGAAGAAAAACAAGGGAAAAAACAAGGATTGCACCATTTAAATCAACGTACGTATTGTACACAGGCGCGATTTAGTTGGTTATCCTCTGTCGAGAGTAGCAGCCGCGTAATTTATTCGATTAATTCGGAAAGGAAAGTTCTCGCGCGCAGTTTCTGCCCTCAGAATTTAGCCGCGAGACAGCCTTTGAACATCGTATCCTCCATGGAAATACACGTCCGCCCCTCCTTTTTCTCTATTCTTTTTTCACGAATCTGCGTGCTTGCTTAATTTCGCCGCTTGGACCAATCGCCCGGGGATATTGATTTATCCGTTTCGCGGCGAACAGGAAATGGATTCTCGCGCGAGAGATTTTTTCGTCCCGGTAATCGGAAACGTGCATAGGTAATCATTTTCTTCTTCTTTCTTCTTCATCGTTGCTTCGACATGCCTCGATTCTTGAAATCGTTCGGCGCGAGTTACGCAGCGTTTCTTCCAGCGTAACTGGTCCACGGGTCTACGAGGCTGTAAAGATTTAATCGGCGCATTCTCCGACGAAACTACCGGATCGAATCCTCCTTCGTTTTACTCTACTGCCGCGTGTTTCCCTCCCGGTTTTAACGCCTCTCGTAAAAACGTTATCGTCGCGAGATTAGCTCGACGCGGTAAATAATTCCGTCTAGCGGGAACACACGTTGGTTGTTAGGGTGAACTCGAGCCCTGAATATTGCACTACGTGCCGTCTATAGTTTTCTTGAAGGACCACCCAAAGGTTGATAACGGCTTTGGGACCGTAGTAATGAGTGGCGCATCTGACTGTCTTGTCTCTATAATCTCTCTTCTGTTACTCTAAAAAACCCTGTCCGGTCCCAGCACTCTCGTTTCCCTTCCATTGCGCCCTTGGCGTGTGTCTTTTCTGGAAGGAGAACTGGGTTCTTCCCGAGAGAAAGTGGGAGAGATGGGGGTGACTAACCGTTAGGAAAGAAACCCCGGACTTGGTGACGTTGTCTTTCGCCAGGTCACCGCTTGGGTCTTCGGGGTTTATGACATGGCCTGTGTTACCGAGTCCTAAATTCTATGAACTAGCGAAACATGATTAAAAAGGTGAAAAAGGGAAAAACTAATTTTGTCACGTACCATCCTAATGCTGGTGCACGGATGGTACGCGCATTCAACAATGGTCTCAAAGATAACTGCCTGCCTGCTCCATGTCATAAACCTCGGCAAGCTAAACTCTAACGTTGGTCCTTCGCGACAAATCCATCGTCCCTGTGTAATGCCGATCGTAGGTTTCGTAGTCAAGGAGGTCTAGTGTGACGGCCGTTCTTTTAGGCCTTTCTTGCTAATTTATTACAGAAGTACGGCAACAGTTATTAGCACGAGCTTTATTCCTATGTATTTACTTGTCCTTGAAGAATCGTTGCAAATTCCTTCGCGACAAATCCATCGTCCCTGTATAATGCCGATCGTAGGTTTCGTAGTCAAGGGGGTCTAGTGTGACGGCCGTTCTTTTAGGCCTTTCTTGCTAATTTATTACAGAAGTATGGTAACAGTTATTAGCACGAGCTTTATTCCTATGTATTTACTTGTCCTTGAAGAATCGTTGCAAATTTTTTTTCTTGAAAAATAATTAGATATGGCTGCTGTGAAACACGTCAAACAGGAGCATGAAAGAAGGAAGTAGGTCCATGGTTGCCATGATTTGAGCTGCTCTGCTTATCAGAAATAAAAAAATCCAATTAATTCTTATTCAGTATGCATGTCGCTATAGTCGGTAGTAGAATAAAAGAAAAATATTGAAAATGAAAAAAATGGCGGCTCTTTGAATACGAAGTATCGATTTTTTCCACTTTTCTTCGTCTTTCAGAGGCTCTAAAAATCAGAAAAATATATATTTTGGCCACAAATGTTCCGAAGACATGTGCAAAATTTGAGTCGGACTGGTTCAAGTAGTTTTTGCCAGATCGTGGCAAACATTTCAGAAAACTTGGTTCCGAGAAAAACGCGTTTCTAGTTTTGAGTGCAATTTACATTCTCCCTATCGCCGGCCTTTGGTGTGTCACACTAAACGAGCTATAACTTCGTTATTTTATTCAATACAACTATAAAACTTCAGGAGTATATTCTTAAAGAGTTGTACTTTCGATATATGCAAAAATATAACAATTGAGTTTTGAAACCGTCACACTAGATGACCCCCTTAAGAAGAAATGTGAAGTATTTTCAGCTACTGTTCAAATTTTTCAAATTAACAGCGTTCTCCTACTTTTCTTCCTTAATTTTTCCACGACAGTGCAGCGTAGCTTTACTCGAATCTGTTAACAAGAAGACGATCTTGTCCACCTTCTCCGAAAAATGATTACAAATTTTTCAATTTCTTCGTTTCAGCGGACATCTTCGACGTGGTGGAGAAGGAGCTGAAGAAGATCGGCGGATTGAGGTGCAAGTGCCTCGGAGGCGGAAGGATCGAGCACGATCCCGACGAAAGGACGCTCAAAGTATACGGATACTCTCAGGCGAGTCGTTGGGATTAACTGGATCGAATCGATCCTGAACCAGGCCTCTTCCGCGATTCATTCGCGCTCCTCGAGGCGCCGCGGTGCTTCTGACACCTGCCAGGATCCTCCGCGTCTCTCCGGGGCTTCCCCGTGAATTTTCCAAGCGTACAACTCTGCCGTAATCCTCCAATTTCACCCCCCCAGTTCCCCTATCGTAATCGCACACTACGAATCTGGTAAAACGAAACATCACCGACGAAATTCAACTAGTGATTGAAGTGACGATGACGATATGGTGTATACACAGGGTGATTGAAGAAAGAGGTTTGAGATTGTAGGGTGTTTTCAGTGGAGGATCGAAATTAGATGAAAATTAGAGAGGATAAAATCGGATTTCAGGGTGAAATTGTGTTTGCGGAGCAAACTTGGCCCGCGGTTAATCGTCCGCGAGACTCGGAGGGCTCTTTAAACAAGCCTGTATTGTAAACTAATTATTCGGTTTTGCCAGAGTTTGGCAAGGTTGCTGAAAATTCGCGGGGAAGCTTCGTTATCGCGGCGGTAATCGGTTGAAGAGGGTCCCTTGGAGAGAGAGAGAGAGAGAGCACCGCCTCGCCTCGATAGATCCGTGGTTGAGGCTGGAGAATTTAAAAAAAATATATTTGAAGAGTATGGAAAGCAATTTTAATATAGCTTCCGGGGTATCGTGATTTTTTTTTTCGTTGGTTTGAATCAGGAAACGCAACTGGAATAATTTAAAAGGCACAGAGTTTCGTGGATTAAAATGGAGGAGGGATACGGTGGTTTTCTGATAAGAGAGCAATTTTATGGAGGTACTTGGTGATTTATTTGCAGGGCTTTGGGAAAGCAGATCACCAAGTGTCGGTTGCTTTATTGAAAAAGAAGTATCCTGATTATACTATTACTTGCTCCGACGAGGGATACTGAAGAGGAGGGTATTGAAGAAGAAGAGGAATCTCTCGTGCTGTAACGCAACAATAATTGTATTTAAATATATTAAGTAAGTAATTTAATAAAGGCTTTTTACGAGTGACACTATCACTGTTGCATATTGATTTTGTAAATTGCCAGTTCTGGTAGAACGCGATGATAATGGGATTTAAAACAGAGCTGTGGATGTGTTTTGTACCATCGGTAACTTTTGTCGAGACGTTCCGTAGTTATCTACATTGCCGACGCTATTATCGCGTTATTTTCGAAGTTTCTCCTTCGAATACTGGGATTTTTGTGACGTTTCTGAGTTTTTCGCGTTCCAGGTATTATTGAGACTTTTGTTTACACTATGTTTTGTAAAAGGAAATGAATCTGGTGTGTAAAAGAGAAATAATACAGTGTAAAATGCTGTAGAACAGTATTGATATATTGTAACATTTCGTACAACACATTTTATACAGTTATCTTACAATAAATAATTATATTCCTTCATTCCTCCTGATGTTGAAGTCCTTTCTTTCATTCCTATGGTGTCCTGGAAGATCTATCTGTAATTTACACAAAAATTCAAATCGTTATTTAACAAGGAACAGTAATTATTCTTTAATTGAAGTACTTGAAAATAAGCCAGAAACTGCATTTTACTATCTTCATTATTAGTAATGTTGATGTAGTTAAAAATTGATTATAAGTATCGATAACATATAATGGAGATGACGAAGATAGCAATAACAACGAGAGACAAGAAAATGAAGTGCGGTAGAGAAGGATAGCATTAGAGTAATGTGTTAGACAAGGAAAGATACAGTGTCAGACAAGGACGGAAAATTTGAAAAAGTGAAACTATCGCCATCTCGCGTTAGGTGACGCGAACTGCGATTTTTTAATAGGTTAACAGAATATACACAGAGGTATTAGACAAGGATAGCACTAGTGTGCGACAAGGACAGAGAGAGAACGCTTCCTATTGGCCAGCGGGCCGCCGAGCTCCACGTATCAGGCCCAAGATTAAGTCGATCGATGAAAAATCATTAATAACTCATTAATTAGGATGATTTTGTGAACTTTTAGAATTGAAGAATGAAATATGGACTTTCAGTAACTTTCACATATAGTTTTTAATGCACTAGACTCTTCCAATAATTAGTTATTAACAATTATTGTGCAGAGTGTCAGCAGGGATACCGCACACCATTCCGGTTTTTCATTAATTTCGTAGCTTTGCGCAAATAACGTATGCATTTTGGTACATACATTCGAAAGGTGATTCCTTTAGCTAGTCTTTCGTTATATTCTCATTAACATATCTGTCGTAATTTGCGAGATATTAAACATTATTTGGGTAAGTATTACGCTCGTCGTATTCAGGCGTAATACATTTCCGTCATTTTCATTAATAACTCAATAATTAGGACGATTTCGTGAACTTTTAGAATTGAAGAATGAAGCGTGGACATTTAGAAACTTTCTCATATAGTTTTTAGTACTCTAAACCCTTTCAGTAATTAGTTATTAACAATTATTGTCTCGAGTGTCCGCAGCGATACCACACACTCTTCTGGTTTCTTATTAATTTTGTAGTTTTGCACAAATATTTTATACACTTTCATACATGCGTTCAAAAGGCTATTCCATTAGCAACTTTCTCGTTATATTTTCATTAACATATTCGCTTTAGTTTAAGAGTTATTAAACATTCTATGGGAGAGTATTGCACCCGTCATATACCATCGTAACATATTTTCGTTATTTCAATAGAAATGCGTCACTGATTATGCACTTTAGAGCATGCAGAATGTACAATGGACTTTCGTTTATATTCTGAAATAAGTTTGGTAGCCATAAGTGGTGTGGTTTGTTAGATATTAATAATTGTTTATAACAGTCCGGTATACTCGAGTACGATGAGTAGGTGACGCTCCCAAAGAATATTTAATTACTCTTAAACTAAACCGAATATGTTAATAAAAATTACATGAAAATATAGCCAAAGGAGTTGCCTTTCAGATGCGTATAGCTAGTTGCATGAGAATTTAGTGGAAGACTATGAAATTATTGAAAAATCGTGAAGGTGTTACACTCGATTATATATGTCGCATTCAGTAGTAACATATTTTCGTTATTTCAATAGAAATGAGTGACTAATTATACACCTTAAGGCATGCAGAATGTAGAATGGACTTTTATCTATATTCTGCAATTAGTTTGGTAGGCATAAGTGGTGTGGTTTATCAGATATTAACAATTGTTCATAACAGTCGGATATACTTGAGTACGATGAATTGGGGACGCTCCCATATAATCTTTAATAACTCCTAAACTAAACTGAATATGTTAATAAAAATTATATGAGAATATAACCAAAGGAGTTACCTTTCAGATGCATACAGATAGTTATACGAGAATTTAGCAGAAAGCTGCGAAATTATTGAAAAATCATAAATGTGCTTAACGGTATGCGGTATTGTTCCCGACATCACGTACTAAAATTGTTAATAACTAATTATTGGAGTGGTTCAGAGCATTGAAAACTATATGTGAAAGTTGCTAAAGGTCCATGCTTCATTCTTCAATTCTAAAAGTTCATGAAATCATCCTAATTATTGAGTTATTAATGAAAATGAAGGAAATGTATTACGCCTGAATACGACGAGCGTAATAATTACCCATATAATGTTTAATAACTCGCAAAGTAAACCGAATATGTTAATAAAAATTACATGAGAAAGTAGCCAAAAGAGTTGCCTTTCAGATGCGTGTAGTTTTATGCACGAGAATTTAGCAGAAAGGTATGAAATTAATGAAAAACCATAAAGGTGCTTGACGGTATGCGGTATCGTTCTCGACATCACGTACTAAAATTGTTAATAACTAATTATTGGAAGGGTCTAGTGCATTAAAAACTCCATGAGAAAGTTGCTAAAGGTTCGTACTTCATTCTTCAATTCTAAAAGTTCACAAAATCATCCTAATTAATGAGTTATTAATGATTTTTCATCGATCGACTTAATCTTGGGCCTGATACGTGGAGCTCGGCGGCCCGCTGGCCAATAGGAAGCGTTCTCTCTCTGTCCTTGTCGCACACTAGTGCTATCCTTGTCTAATACCTCTGTGTATATTCTGTTAACCTATTAAAAAATCGCAGTTCGCGTCACCTAACGCGAGATGGCGATAGTTACGCCTTTTCAAATTTTCCGTCCTTGTCTAACACTGTATCTTTCCTTGTCTAACACATTACTCTGATACCATCCTTCTCTACCCCTATTTTTTTCCTTGTCTATCTCATTACTCTAGTGCTATCCTTGCTTACCGCTATTCGTTTCACTGTCTGCCTTCTCTATTCCTAACCTCGTTATCCCTATTATATTTAATTGATACTTATAATCAATTTTTAAAGGTTTTAACAATATTGTAGGAACTGCGCTATTGCTTAGTGTGCTATTCCTAATTGTTATTGAATTGTGTTATTACTATTTGCTTCATTGGTTTATTTGATTATTTATATTAATGTATCTATAATTTGATTGAGATAGTGCGAGTTAATATGCAATGTGTGATTACGTTGGGAATGAGAATAAACAAACACAATGTCGAAGAGAAGCGATGAAACGAGATACGTGAGATATTTTAAAAGTGTGTTTAAGGTTATTGTAAAACATTCCATTTAAACGTTTCCTGGCTTTACTCTCATACAATATTAACGATGTGGACTGTAATGTTACTGATTTATTTTCAAGTACTTTAATTATAGAATAATTAGCGTTTCATCTTAAATAGCAATTTAGCTGGTAGTTTATAATTACTGGAACTATTAAATGCATCTGTTGCATGATTTAACTTAAAAAAGAAATAGCTTAGTTTAAACATTTCGCATTGAATTAACAATTGCATGCAGCAGGTACTTTAAAATGAATATTTATAACAAATTTCGTATTCCTTTAACATTACTTGTAGTGAGTAGATAGTAAAATGAAGTTTTGCCTTCATTTTCAAATACTTTAGTTACAGTATAATTAGTGTTTCTTGTTAAATAACAATTCAGATGGTTGTTTATAACTATTGGAAGGCTTAAATAAAAGTATTGTACACTTTAACGTAATGAAACAGCTTAATATATTGATTTTTCATTGAATTAACCGTTGCATTCGGTAGATTAGTCAGAAATTGTTTACAAATGTTATTAAAAGTTAGAAAAATTAATGGTTTGTTTGTATGAATTACAGATGGACCCTCCAGGACACCGCAAAGATCAAGGAAAGGATTTGAACGTCAGAAACAATGAAGAAATGTAATTATTTATCAAGAAATGAATTATTTATTGTAAGACAAGTGTACAAAATGTATTTTACAAAAGATTACAATATACCAGTGTTGTTTTGCAGCATTTTACAGTCCATTAACTTCTCCCATACGCACCACATCCATTTCCATTGTAGAAACCTCATTGTTTAAACCATATATCACCGCAAAATTAAATAAACAGTAGTATATGTATTTTACAAAAGGTTACAACATTCCAGTATTGTTTTACAGCGTTTTACAGTCGATAAACTTCTCCCTTACACATCGAATCTATTTCCTATCGCAGAAAATCCATTGTTTAAACAATATTTCATTGCAAAATTGAATAAACTAATTCCAGAAACCACCAGGAATGCGTTTACAACGAAAAAATCGAAAAAATCCCGAAATTCTAGCGTAAACTACGAAAATTAAGGAAATATTTCGAAAATCGCGCGAATATACTCGCTCGGTGCTCGAGTCCCCGAGAATTCCTGGAAATGACGTCATTTCTCGGAAATGACGAAAATTCCAAGAATCGACGCGATTCCAAGAATTGACCAGTGGCCCTCCGAAAATTTCGGTCCTCGAGAATTCCTGGAATTTGGTCAGTTCCGAGAATCGAGTCACTTCCAGGAAGCGACCTCCTGTCATATCATGTTCGCCTATTAGAAAGTCGATTTTCAGCCAAAGGGTCTCCGAAAATTTCAGTTCTCGAGAATTCCTGGAATTTGGTCAGTTCCGAGAATCGAGTCACTTCCAGGAAGCGACCTCCTGTCATATCATGTTCGCCTATTAGAAAGTCGATTTTCAGCCAAAGGGTCTCCGAAAATTTCAGTTCTCGAGAATTCCTGGAATTTTCGTCATTTCTCGGAAATGACGAAATTTCCGAGAATCGACGCGATTCCAAGAATTGACGAATGGGCCTTCGAAAATTTCGGTTCTCGAGAATTCCTGGAATTTTCGTCATTTCTCGGAAATGAGGAAATTTCCGAGAATCGAGTCGCTTCCAGGAAGCGACCTCCTTACACATCATGTTCGCCTATTAGAAAGTCGATTTTCGGCCAAAATTTTTCGAGAATCGAAAATCCTGACTTTGTATTAGGCGAATATGATGTGACAGGAGGTCGATTCTCGGAATCGCCTGGATTCTTGGAAATTTCGTCATTTCCGAGAAATGACGAAAATTCCAGGAATTCTCGAGAACTGAAATTTTCGGAGACCCTTTGGCTGAAAATCGACTTTCTAATAGGCGAACATGATACGATAGGAGGTCGATTCCTGGAAGTGACTCGATTCTCGGAAATGACCAAATTCCAGGAATTCTCGAGGACCGAAATTTTCGAAGGGCCATTGGTCAATTCTTGGAATCGCGTCGATTCTTGGAATTTTGGTCATTTCCGAGAAATGACGTCATTTCCAGGAATTCTCGGGGACTCTAGCACCGAGCGAGTATATTCGCGCGATTTTCGAAATATTTCCTTAATTTTCGTAGTTTACGCTAGAATTTCGGGATTTTTTCGATTTTTTCGTTGTAAACGCATTCCTGGTGGTTTCTGACATTAATTTATCGACTTTTGCAACGGAAAATTGTTTAAACAATGGGTTTTTTTGCAAAATCAAATGGATTTGGAATGTAAGGGAGCAATAAAGAGACTGTAAAATGCTGTAAAACAGTACTGGTATATTGTAACCTTTTGGAAAATACATTTTTCACATATATATTACAATAAACAATTGATTTATCGATAAATAATTGCATTTCTTCAGTTTTCCTGATGTTGAAGTCCTCTCCTTGATTTCTGTGGTGTCCTGGAGGGTCCATCTGTAATTCATACAAACAAACTATTAATTTTTCTAACTTTTAATAACATTTGTAAACAATTTCTGACTAATCTACCGAATGCAACGGTTAATTCAATGAAAAATCAATATATTAAGCTGTTTCATTACGTTAAAGTGTACAATACTTTTATTTAAGCCTTCCAATAGTTATAAACAAGAAACATTAACTATTCTACAACTAAAGTACTTGAAACTAAGCCAGAGACTGTATTTTACTATCTACACTATTAGTAATGTCAAATCAATTAAAAATTGATCGTAACTGTCAATTTTAAACTACCTAGTACACGCAATTATGCTCTAATTTGCAATAACCATTGTTAAAAACGAATAATTCAAAGAATATCTACTGGAAAAATCAACTACCCTGATAATACTACATTTCCGACGATGCTCTCTACGCAACAATATCTAAGTATTCCAACGATAAAATCAATCTAATGTTTTTAATTTCATCCTGCTTACTATCTTTCCTAAATAACTCGAACAATTCGAAACGAGACGTAAGTGGTATCTATTGCCAAGAAGGACGAATGAAAACCCTACAGTAGAGAACGTGACTCGATCAATAAAACAACCTGTGCAACAATTCCGTTCGACGATAAAGTAGATTACTGTTTCAACATGTTGCATTATCGACCCGTACATTTTTTTTACAAGCTTGGAGCATTTTTGGTAGATGTGTGCACCTGTTAATACCCGCAAAACCGCGAAAACTTGAAATATAAAGTTTTCAATTAAAGAACATACTAAATAAACGTTGCAAAGTGTGTAAAAATTAAAAAGTATATCTCAGACACAGTTCTCCACGTAATGCGATCAGTTATTACAATAAATCTAATTTATCACAGGAAGACGATTCTCTTTTTTCTTATACAACGCATTCTTCGGCAATATGCCATGAAACAATTGCCACTGTTTCGCCTGGTAACGGAGTCCCGTGTTAGTCGCCATAATTTGGACATGTCAGACGCCAGATGAAGGCGTTAAAAAAATTTCCTGTAATACACCAACAGTAGTAACAATGTTTTCCCGGGCCGCCAAGTCTCTCGTGAAAAGCATCAGTCAGCGGAAGTACCACGCTGGTGAAGAGAACATCAAGGTGATCGAAACGTTGAAAAATCGAACGAATCAAAAATAATTACAACACATCCTTCCATATAAAACGATACAAATCTTCAACCCTTTGCTCTCCAAATTAACTCTCACTCATTCAATCACTCTCCAGCAGTACAATATACTTTCCCCTTATTTCAATACTTCAGCCTAATATCAGTTACGAAATACTAACTTTCAGTACAACATTAACGCACAGAAAAATTTTTTATCGTCTTTTCTAATTTATCATTGATCGTTACACGATATCTGAGGGGAAAAATTCTTACTACTCTGAAGCTCTTCTTGTTCAACCGCGAAGAGTTAAAAATCGATCAAGTGAACAATATCATGCTACATTTTCTCAATTTGCGCGAACAGCTGGCGATGATTGGAGGCGTAGGGGAAATAGGACGATCCCTTTCGCAGATGCTGAAACAAAGCTCGAAGCTCGACGTACTCGCGTTGTATGACGTGGCCGCGTCGAACAAACGATTTTCAACACAATTTAAACCAAAAGGCTTTGCGGACGGTGAAACCATCAATACCGCGGTAAGCTACCTACAATTCCTACGTTCTCCGTGATCTTCAAGATCCTCGCGAATTTTCCATCTAAATTAAACCAAAAAATAGAATTCACGAATGTTGACGATGTTGGGAAAAACGCAATCGAACAACAAAGGTGATCATCGGACCGAGGAACTCGTCGAGAGTCTGCGTCGGCTGCCAATCGCTGAAGAATGCTCGAAACCTAACGCGCCGCAGGTAAGAATCTTCAATTGTAACGTGCAGTAACAGAAAAATCTAATTTCCAAATATTCTCGTACCAAGTATCGCGCGAACTGAGGTAAAAAAGACAGAAAGAAAGTGTGCTAATGGCGCGTCTCGTCGACTTGTTACCGCGGATTATAGGATGAGGAGGAGGATAGGGGGTGAGAACCGGAAGCTGACGAGGCGGCGCTAAGTTGTATTCAATTTCTTCGCGATTGAATTTCACGAATTGCTTTGAAAAATGGCCCATCTTGCCAAGATCGAACGCGAATAAAACGATCACTTGAGAACACTCTTTGCACGCACTAACAGCGTGAGAAAAGAGAGCAAAGAGGAATTGCTTCTTTCCTTTCCCCGAGAAAATGCACGACGAGAGACGATGGACAGGCTTCTATAATATTAAAATTGCAAAAAAAAAAAGAGAAAAAGAAAGAACGACGAAATTGTCTCCTTTAACCCTTTCGCTACTGCAAAATTCATCTTGTATCATTCGGCGAAAGGGTTAAGCACGATCTTCTATCCCCTCCTCTCTGTCGAGGGATTAACAGATACAGAAAAGGGTTATCGACCTTGAAATCGTCTCTCCGTCTGTTCTCAGGGGGACAACGGTATTGCTAGCGAGTCAGAAGGTCCTCGAGTTCTCGCTGAAATGGGCCCAGCAACCTTCCGGCATGGTGGTCGTATCGTTTCCGAAATTTACAAGCAGTTCCCCGATTTCGCGACCTATCTCGGCAAGAATCGCCGGAATAACACGAGTAACACCACGTCCACGCGACGACGATACTCTAACATCGCGTTGTTCTCCAACGAGTGCCTGACGAGCATTGGAAACGATCTGCAATTCGGGAAAACGCTCCCAGATTTCGTTGTCTACCCGAATAAATTATCTGGCAAAAATGTACCAGCGGAGAAAGCTGACAGAAAGTGTCACTCGAAGAAGAAAGAGGCGAGGAAACAGAACGCAGTGTCACCGGAGCAAATCATCGAGAAGAAATCCTCGAAACTGTGCGAAAATCGATCTACCACTACGCAGAAGTGCGACAAGAAGAAGACGAGAGTGAAACGACTGAACGAGCCTAAGATCGTGAACGAAGTGACAGCGAAGTGTGACAGAAGATCGAGTAATTTTGGGAAATCGAAGAATTGGACAATTCCAGCTGCTTTGTCGGACAAGAAGCCGAAAATGCTGTACGGTTTGGTCCACCAGAGGAGAAGATCCTTGACCAACTTCTTCACGAGATTCTTCGACATCC